GATGGTTGAGTGTGGAAGAAGACTCGGGGGAGTAGAGTCCAGCCTTCTCACTTCTCCCTCCTCCCACAGTGATTACCTTATCTGCTCTTTTACTTATTCTTTAAAACAGTTTCTGGTTTTTTTGCTCCTGATTATTTTTTAGTATAAAAGCTAGGGTCTCCCTTTTCCTTTTCTGTGTTAAATACTAGGTTATATTCATCGACGTTGATTTTACGTTCTGAGTTCAGATCATTGGTGAAATACAAACAATAACATATTTTATTTTTAAGCAACATTTCATATAAAAATAATTTTTTGAGAGATAAAGATGCATTGCACATATTTCTGGGCTCTTGGCTGATTTTTAATATATCGAAAAATGGAAGGAGGATGCGGAGGAAAGCTGTACCTCCTTGCCTGCTCCCATTGGCAATGAAAATGATTAATACTTGTCATGCTCAGCTTGGTGCTTTCCTCTTATAAGAAGATCTTGGAGCCGCTAATTTCTTCCAGTAGCTTAAATGGAAGCTATTGAGATGTTTCTTTATCTGATGCTGGGAAGAACTAAAATCTCCTTGTATTTAAAAACTAGACAGGTAAAAAGAAGATTTGAGCACTGCTGTGGCAACTTTTTCTGTCTGCTAATAGGTATAGTCAAGGGAAGTTAAATAGCTTGCTTTAGAACAAAGCTTGAGAGTGTATGGTAATGAAAACTGTAACGACAGCTTGTTCTCAATTTGCAGCTCTTTTCTTATGTGCTACTTCTCAGACAAATTTTAAGGGGAAAAATGGAAGAGAGTGGGGATGCCTGGCCAGCCTCATGCGTGATGATAACTGCTAATAAAAATAAAGAAGTGGTCACTCAAACTTCCTCATCTCTATAGAAGATCAGCATAACTGCATCTTTAGCATAATCCTGCCACCCTTTAATTCTTGGAGCACCCACTACTTCTGGGAAGGGAAGTATTTATTGCAATGTATTTCCAGAGAAAAATGGGATTGTGAATTTATCCCTTTTCATGTGATCCACTCCCCTTAGAACAAATACATTCCCAGTAAATCCTACAAGAGACTTTGCTTCAAACACAGCAGAAAGCGCAGACTGAGCAACTTTTTTCTAATTAAAAGACCCCTCAAAGGTCACTCTAACTGATGAAATTTACACCATCACATTCAATTCATTAAACTAAAACTGTAACAGAAGTTCAGAAGGGTCTATTAGGTGACTGCCTGTCTGTTGTCTCCCGCTGCATTTGAACCCCTTGCAAGGAAGAGAAAAAGGGCACAGCATTTGTGTTTTATAAGGTAGCACATGTCAAAGCTGTGAGCTGGGGTGATGTGTTGTCCTAGACTTGTGTAGAATTTATTCCCCTATATTGAGAAAGCTGAGTGGGAATACTCACAGAGAATATAAACTCTGGGGGTTTTTTCCATTGGTTTGTTTTTGGTTGGGGTTTTTTTTTGTGTGTGTGTGTGTGTGTTGTTTTGTTTTGTTTTGTTTTAGCTGTGCTGTTCTAGTCCAAGGCCACCTCCAAGGCTTCCCACTCCCCGAGCTGAACGGCCGCAGGCAGCTCATTATCATGACTTGTGTTGCTGTCTTCAGCATTTTAAAAAGTCTTTTTCTATTTCTTCAGCAATAAGAGTGTAGTCATCTGCACTGTGACTCTTAACCCTTTTAAAAAGAATTTCTGTAAAAATCGTCCATCAAGGGCCTCAGCATGGGCTGTACGTGCTCTTGCTGTAAAACAAGCACACCACCTGACTTGATGAGTACCTGGAGAAAACTGTAGTTGCTGGTATGTGCTGGCAGGGTCCCTAGCCTGGCGTGGATTCTCACCCTGGCTTTATTCCGAGAATGCTGAGAAATAGAATAGAATGTTTCGGTTGGAAGGGACCTACAATGATCATCTAGTCCAATACTAGGAAAGTCGCTTTAATTCTCTCCCTTCCTTTCTCCTTCTATATTGTCCTTCTCCTTTCTGGCACTTCAACCTGACACAGACTTACTGGAGAGGCTAACAAAGCTGTCCCTGACCTTACATGCTGCCCAGAGTAGGACATGTTTCAAGGTGATGGGATGTTGTTTTGTCTACTCATTTATACAACCCGCCGTCCCATTCACAGCGCGCCCTGCCAGACACCTCTCTTAATTTCATCTTTGAATCCTTGTAAATACTGCAGGAATTTAAGTAATGCATGCTGGTTTATCCTGAACTGCAGAACGTAATTTTTATGTGACTGGAGTAGGAGTTTGAGTTAAGTTGTGTGTGTGGAACAAGACCCTACTGCAAGCAGGCTGCTTTGTTACCTGTCTCAGCAGTGCCAAAGCATAGACATCTTATAAAACCAACTGTAGCCATCAACCACGGCTGCTTTGGCAGTATCAGTCATTGAATTCAATATGGATGTGGTCTTTTTGCCTTTTGTATTAAATGTAAGTACTGGGCTGTAGCTTAGGGCCGTGGAAATTTTGGATCGACTTTCTGCAAGATCTGCCTGTTTTCCCTGGAAGACTCTGCTTTGAGGTGATTGATTCATAAGGAGAGATTTTCACCACTTGAGAAGTGTGATTTTAGTGTTTAGAGTATCCTGGAGATCGGTGTCATGGCAAGGGTAGCTGAACCTCGTGTAGAACTCTTGAGCTGTCATCATTTATTAGCTGAAATATTAAAGCAAATCATCATGGACTTCATGCTGATTTAATATGCTGGGCCAAAGTCTGAAACAGAATTGCTGTATATGTAGTTCCATAGAGTAAAGGAGTTTTTTGGAGAGGAGTAAGGTCATCAGTGTGCTTTAATCTCTATGTGAGTTTCAAATGGAGTCAGTTTTCCTTGTTCTGATGTTTGGAAAGCATGGGTGAGCTGACCTGATTTTTTTTAATTTTTGGATTTGTGCTCTTAGTGGGGGGGAAGCAGGTGACAGAAGATATGGCTGCAGCTCCTTGCTCACTTTCTACCAACTTTGGTACAAACTAGAGGAGCTGCTGTAATAAATTAGGGCAACAATACATTGCTGATTGTTCATTAGATGCTTGAAATGAGCATGTGTTTAGTAATGTAGCAATTAAGGACTGACTGACAATAACATGCTTGTTTGCCTTTAGAGTAAGAACTTGTATCTTGATGTTTAATGAAGGGTTTACAATGGTATTTAGGTTTTGTGCATAAAGTTCAGGTGAGGTGTGACCTGTATTCTGATGAATATGGATAAATTGAATAAACTGAGAGAAGGATGTTTGAGAGAAATTAAAAACGTCTTGGATGCCCTTTGTCTTGAGGATGTCTGTGCTTTGGCACAGACAAGGTAGGCAGGGTAGTTTAACCTGTGCCGAGTTCCTTGCTGTTGTGGCCAGACTGTCCTTAGCAAGTGAGCTGCTGGGTGTTTCCATTGGCACAGTATGGCCATGGGCATTGAGACTCTGCCTGTTTTGGTAGAGAGGGAATAATGTTGCTCAGTGTTACTTCACACTACTGGAAAATGTAAATATTGGGGAATAAATCCCATTCTTAAAGGTGAATTAATGTATTCACTTCCCATTCTCATGACATTGAGTGGCTTTTGGGTGAAAATGCTTGTTTGAAAATATAAAGAGTGAAAAAGATGTATTCCAGAGTGGATCGCTTAGTGTGTTTCCGAGTACCTGGAAGACTTTTATGATATGCATCAAATCTTCTATACCTACTGCTCATATTTACCTGCCCGTTTGTATTTATAATAAAATCTCAAACATCTGTTTTATTTTAAGAACTATGTTACCATTCCAACACATAGTACCACAGATAAGAGTTGATCCTTGTGCCAGGAGCCTCAATATTTTTCACTTGTTGTGTTTTGTCTAATTTAAAAAAAAATGAGAAATAGAGGAAACCTAACAGATTCTTGAGTTTCTTGACTGCTGTGAGGAATATGAAATTATTTTCTACTTTTATTAAAAAAAACCCACTTCTGTGTTGACTTTAATGGGATTAGTCGTTGTGCAGAGCTTATGAAAACAGGGCACTAGTGATTTGCATCAATTCCATCCAATTCACTGATTCATTTCATTCATTTCATTCATTCTCCTTCAGAGAAAGAAAATACAGAAAAAAAATACCTAAATGGTCATGCCTTCTCTCAAACAGTCAATATGCAGTAAGACTTCCTCAGCCTCTTCATTTGGAGCTAAGTGTAAGCAGGTTTAGCTTCACCTCTTCAAGAACTTAATGGACACCCATTCTTCAGGACTCTAAATCTGTACTAATGTTGAAAAAAAAATTTTTTTTTTTTCTGAAATTTAAAAGTGAAAATGGCAAGGATAAGTCATGAGAGTTTATATTACCTCCTCCTCTTGCCCCTGCAACATACTTAATAGAATAAAGAAATTGGAAAAAAAAAAAGAGATAAAAAATGGTAAAAATTTTCTACTTTGTGGTAAGTTTTTTGCGTGTACATCTTCTAGAACATTTTATTTACTTTCCTGGTCCTCATATGATGGTAATTCTCTTCCATGTATGACGTTTTTGATTTTGTATGTGTGTATATATGCCTTTTTTTACTCACAGTTCCAAGTTGTTACTTGTCAAAATTTGAAGCAGCTCTGTAGCATCTCCTTGCTTTTATTATCTATAGACTTGTGAGTATCTCAAATCTGATTGCTGTTCTCTGAACTAACTCTATCAAATCTTTCTACAGTTCTGCAGTCATAGAGTTCTTGTGTTTCACTGTTTATCATCTGTGGTTTCTTATTTAGCTTGTATAAGAATGTACCAGGTTTATTTACCTCTCCATTACGGGTTTTTTTTAAAGTGAATGCACTAATCTGTCCAGTGTCCTGTGGCAAGGGATGTTCAGTAGCCAAATTTAGAAGTGGGATATGCTTTGCTCAGCTGCTTTTTCCTCAATTACACTGGCTGTCTTCAGTATTGCATCCTATGTGTATAGGTTCTTGTCTCAGTCAGGAAGCTGAGAGGGGAACATAATTGGACTAACTGAATCAAAGGTTAAACTTACGGATATTTTAGCTTTTTTATTTATTGCAGGTAATTAAAGTGTATAGTGAAGATGATACTAGCAGAGCTTTGGAAGTTCCAAGTGATATAACAGCCAGGGATGTATGTCAGCTATTGATATTGAAGAACCACTATATTGATGACCACAGCTGGACTCTGTTTGAACAACTTACCCACATGGGTTTAGGTAAGACTGATACTATACAATGGTATGGCAGTAAATAAGGTGTTTGGTTTTCATTTTCACATAGAAGTACAAGTGTAATAGAAAGGCTTGGAAGCAAAATGACAGGAAGGGTTTGTGTGAATTTGTTCTTTTCAGGGTCTGTTGCTTCTGTTTCTCTTTTTTTGAAAGCATAGCTATCAAGTACATTTTGTCATAGTACATTTGCCTCACACTGCTTGATCTGCATCTGTAAGAGTGGTTTGGAAGACACTGACCCTTAAGGTTCTCACTGCATATTCTTCCTCGCTCTTCCTTGCTTTTCTTTGGTAGTTCTTCCTCTTCTACTGGTATTTCCTGCTTATCTCTAGCAAGACTTGGGTTATTTTCATTGCAAATAAAATCTTCGTTGTTTCCAACACACCTGAGTGAAATCTGACATCAAGGACAGAAAGCGGTTACGCAGTGCTATCCTATCTGGACAACAGGACTCAGTCTTCAGAAACAACATCAGAGTAGGCTGTCAGTGTTTTCCTTCAATACAATCAGTTTGGTTAGATTTATTGTGAACTCTGGGACATGACTACTTAAAAAGCAAAACAAAACCATTCTTCTAAACTTCCAGTTATGCACCAATGAACTCTGTTGACTTTATGCTTAGGATTTTAAGTTGCTGGAAATGAAACGGTCTGAACTCCTTCCACATCATCAGTGTTCCTCTAGTGTAGTAAAAAACCTCTTTTTTCTATTATACAGTTTAAAAGATATAATCTTGGTTTCAGATTACAACTATAATTTTAACTTCTGGTCTCTGTTCCTTTTTGTAGTGTGTAGATGTAATTTTGCAGTATAAAAACACATTAAGATAAAGTAAATATAGTAAGAAAGGGGATGTTTGCAGAAGTGTAAAAAAAGCAGAACACAGGAAAGACTTCACTCAGCAAAAGATGAGTTTAGAAGCCCACTGCTAGGTTGTAGTATTGAACTGATACTCTAGTCAGACAATCTTACTTCCTTTTTACAGCACCATGTTTCAGTACTGTATTGTGTTTGGTTTTGATAGGGAATTATATCAGAAAAATCTACTAGAAGACAAGTGCCATAAAAAAATCTAGTTCTAATTTCATGTCACTCAGTTTCCATATTATTCTTGAACTTTGGCAGTGTACTAGAGTTACCAAAGATAGTACCTTTTCAAACTCAAGGGCAGTTCCAGCTCGAGAAAGTGGACGTTTTGGGGGCCTTCCTGCATTCTAAAATACATAGAAAACTCCTTGAAGTCCTTAATTCTCAGAAGAGACTGCACTGGTACTTGGTAAATCCAGTACTGTCAATTTAAAGGAAAAACACACATCACCAACAAAAAACCCCAAACACTCCCCCCACACAGACCATGGATATTAATATATGGCTAAAAGCTATTGTTAAATTCCCTTTCTGTGCATGTATCCAGGGACACTGGACTTGTGCATTTGTGTAAAATAAACTTGACTGTGCATCTCCGACTGTATTATGTTTAACAGCTGTATTTTAAAGATGATCTACAAAAGCTAAAACTGTTTTCTGCCCTTTTCTGCTCCTTTATCCTATGAAGGCAGCCACAAACGTTTTTCAAACTTTTTTCTTGCTTTGTAACATTTCAAAGATATTTATAAGCTGTTGCACTGAATGTATCAGTTGTAAGATGCTTCCAGCTCAGAGAAAGGTCAGCGCTAAATCTGGGTCGAGGCTGTAAATGACTGACTGCTACAGAAGAGGAGGTATAAAAATGGCTTTAGACAACACTACTATATAAATAGTAGAAGTGTTTTCTGTATTTTATAGCGTGGCTGGTGTTTAAGTAGTGTAGTAACTATTGAAGAAGACATTTTTGACAAACCATGCCAGAACAATAGTGGCATTGTTTCTCCAGGTTTATTTATTTGCGCGATACACTTTTTTTCAAATACTGTGTTTGCGTCAATCTGAAGGATTTCTTGGAAGATTTCAATATCAAACCATTAGTGAAGTTGCTTTTCCTGAGATTCTGAAATTCTCAAAATCACTGGTGTGCAGGTCTGAAGACCGGCATTCTCCACACAGTCTTCTGATTGCTTCAGCTGCTTTTGGCGTAGTTTTAGAAAAAGGTGAATTATTCATTTTAAAAATAAAATTATTTCCTAGATGATGAGGATGGCAATTCAGCATTACTAGCCAAGGAAATGAACAACTTAAGATATTTTCTTTTCTTTTTTTTTTTAAATAATACTAAAGAATAATGGATTTATTTTTATGATATTGTTAAATATGGTTTGTTTGAAAGGTTTAACATATTGATCTTGACTTGCATTTAGTATATTCTGAAGCACTGTATGAGTAGTGTGAACAAACATTTTTGAAATTATGATTTAGTTATGGACTGTTTGCTATTTATTATTCTTTTGTATATTTTACCCATGGGAATTTGGACAGTTTTTCTGCTCCCGAGTTAAATGAGTGGATATAGAAAAGAGAGGTACTGTGAGTGAGTGTGTGTGTCTCTGTAAATTCCAGTATGATGGGGATTAATAATTCATTCATCAATTAGTGAACATTTTCTTTTATATCTAACAGCTGTCTGAATACTCATGAATTAGGTATGATTGCATGAATCTTAGTGAGCTGAGCAGAGTGTTCTCCTTTTAATCAAGACAGACATTAATTACATCGCTGGAGTGTGCCTTCATTGCTGTGTGGAGGTATCCACAAGTGAAGGTCAGGAAAGAAAAAAACCCAACCAAATCCCACCCAAAAGAAATCATCAAAGCACAGTCTGTATATTCCTGTTTTCACAACCCTAGATGCCCTTTAGTGTGGAACTCTACTGTTGCACATTAAACATGATCGTGTCCTCGCTGCATTGCATGGCAAGTGCTGACCAGGTGGTGTTGACTCGGGGTGAGCGGGCAGGTGAGATGGTTCCCCCACCCGTGCTGCTCACTGCCCCGAGGCACCAGCCGGTGCACCCCATCTACCCGCTGTGGGGCACCCACACTGCATGCAGCCCGCTGCCGCTGCCTCGCCACCCGGCACGCTCTGCCTTCCTTCCCACCTCCAAAGCTTTGCAGTAGCCTGGGCTCTGTTTCAAATATCTGAAGTACGACGATTATTACAGCACTATAAATTGCAATATATTTCAGAACTGTGTTGTTCTGGTATGTGTCCTTTTTGTCCCAAGCTATTGAATTAAAAAAAATTCTTGGATGTTTTCCACCTTGTCTAAGATTATTGAAGGCAGCTGAGGAATGCCTAGATTTGGATGATGCTATGTCATCCCTACCATCAGGTACCTTGGTATTGGAATCCCATTCTTCCACTGCAGTTCCCCCGTGTGGGCCTGCTGTGAAAACAGATCAGTTTTCCATAGCTGCTCCTTTTCAAGGAAAATACTGTCTTCATTCTGAAATTTTTCCTTTTCTAGCGAGAATTTTTTGTCTTGACTGTAAACAGTTTTCCATTTGCTTCTGCAGCTCAACAGACATGTGTTCTAGAGTTCCTCTTTGAGTAGGCGATAGTGCCTTGGCCAGGCACATCATCGTTGTGTTTCAGGCTCTCATTTTGATTTTGCTATCTGCATTCCTTTAGGTAGCCTGTGGGAAGGCTCACAAAGCACTATCTGTGCAATAGTACTGGGTAATGGCTTTTCTGGGTTTTATTTAGTTTAAAATTGTTTCCTTTGCTGCGCAGCTTGGGAGGAGGCTATTTGAAATGTGTTGCCATGCACTTCAACATTAAATCTTCTATGCACTTTAGTTACTTGCCATAGTTAAGGAGGCTTTGTTTTGGACTGCAGCAGGTGCTCATCATGTTAGAGATAGTAGTAATAAAGAGATGGTAGAGAAGAAGGTAGAAACTCTCCAGTCAATCTGGAAGAGAAAAAATGATCTAACTAAACCAAAGTGCAGCTTTTTCATGGCAACATTTAGGGATTTGATTGCAGGGCTGTGTTTTGGAGGGTACTAACTCAGTGTTTCAGTTCCTTCAAGAAAGTAAATTGGATCAATTGTACAGTATTCTGTGATGTGACACCTTAAAAATAAACCCCAACATCCATACCCATCCGTTGGGGTGATGCAGAATGTCTTATATTTGTACCAAGAAGTAAGTCTTGAGGAAATGGTATTTTTTTAAATGTCACAATGCCAAGCATTTAAGAGTTTTAAATGTCATCCCAGAGGAGCACTTTCTCTCTATAAAACTGAAAGGAAAAAAAAATGCTGGTTTAGAGTAAAAGCTTCAGTTCTTTAATGTCTCTTTACCCCTGCATCTGAAGAATGTGTTTTGGAGCAGCGCAGCCTGTACAAGATTTTTAAATGCTCACTTTTCTTTTAGTATTTTTGGAACATTTTTTGTTTTCTGAATTGCTTTATGTTTTTATTTGCTTCATTTGATCTGGTTACAAAATGAGTTTCATATAGCAGCCTTAATCTCTGTCTTTATGGGCTCAAGAATGAGTTAAATTCAGTGAAGAATGAGTTAATTCGGTGGAAGTTTAACTTTTCCCTACTTGATCTGTAGATCATGAGAGTGCTTTGTTTTCTGCTAGTCATGAGCTTGATATTTTCCTACTGAGGTGAAATGTGTATGTATGAGTATATTGTCTCTAAATTTCCTAGCTGGAAACTTCCTGAAGGAGCTTATAGATTTGCAGGCTACAGTAAGGCTGTTACCCACCAGATTGGACAGTGTGGAGGCACGAAGTGGTGACTGGCGAAAGATGTGGCAAGAGAAGATCAATAAAAAGATGCTGTAGTTCTAAAGAGGCTTTAATGATTTCAAATTTGAAGTTTGATTTTTATCTCTTAGAAAGTTGTGCATGCTACACTTCATGGCTCTTTGCTTAGCCAGGACCACTTGCAAAAATTTACTTTATATTAATTTAATGTTATGCCTAATTAAGTTTTAAAAAAAATCTATACTTTTTTTATCTGTTATGATTTTTTTAAAAAGTTTCTAACAACAGGCAGTTATATGAGAACATCAACATTCCTTTAAAGTATATCATGAGATCCCTTATGATAATGCAATGAAGTGTAGTAAACGTGATCAGAAGATTGAGTTACGTGGTTTTTATAATCTATTTTTAATTGCTTTTTCCCGCTGAAACCATGATCAGAATTGGATGTTAAAACCCCATAATTGGCAGGGAGACATAAGTTTAGATCTCAAACCTCTTCTTAATGTGTAACTCATTGTTAGAGCGTAATTTAAATTTGGAGGTGCCACTGATCATTTAAATAAAATCTACAACTTTGTTCAACTCTGTCTTGTTCTCATTAGTTTGTCCATAACAAAGAACAAGGGGCCACAAAAACTACGCTCAGTTGGAAGCATGTTTGTCCTTTTATTTATAACCTGATTTCATAAGCTGCTGAAATTTCTTTTAAAAAAATAAATAAATAACATAGTATAGAAATTATCCATAGTCTTTCAGGATTTTTGCTTAACTTCCTGTACTGTGAGTAGTCATTGCATTACTCAGAGAATGCAACATGTAAACATGCACAACACATCTACAGAAAAGTTCTTAAATTCTCTATCTTTCCTATAAGTACATTTCATATTGCTGTAAAATAAAAAAATTCACTCAGGAATCTGAGTGGCAGAAGCAGGCTAAAGCTGCGAGAATACCGATTCTGAACGCCAGTGCTGTGGTACAAATAATGGAATTCTTTGCCTTTTCTTCCCCTCGCCCCACTGCAAAGCTGAACTACACCTTAGAATTCACTTTGTAGGTTATTTTTTTGTTTCAGGAAATGATAGCGTCCTGGGGAGGAGCAGACAAATGAATTCTTTGTTATATTGCACACACCTTTCACTTTACAAATGATACATTAGAGAAAGGAGCGTTAGGAAGACATTGCTGACACCCCAGCCAGCCTGAGTGAATGGTTGAAGTGCTCTGCTGCCTGCAGCCCCATGTGTCGCACAGCAGGAACTGCCCAGCTTCTGCAGGGAGAACATGGGTTTGGCCAGGAAATGGAATAAAGCCCTCAGCTGCCCCTGAAAAAGAAAACAACAACAAAACACAACGCAAAAACCCCACCTGTGACCTACCTCTGAAGTTGAGACCTACTGAGGTGGAACAGTAGGAACCTGATTAATGGACTGTGTTCAGATTGCTTGTTTCATGTTTAGATTAGTTTAATAATATTTTTATTATCTGACCTTTGTGTTTTCACGTTCTACTCCCAGGCTTTTAGGTGGAGGTTGGGTTTTTTTAATTTGTTTGGGTTTTTTTTACAGGAAGAGCTATAGAGGACCATGAATTAGTGATGGAAGTCCAGTCAAATTGGGTAATGGAAGAGGAAAACAAACTGTATTTTAGAAAAAATTATGCCAAGTATGAGTTTTTTAAAAATCCACTGGTAAGTTCTAACATTCTGTCTGTGAAGAGGTGCAATTGCTGTTGCTGCAAACCAGTCTTTTCTGTTACACACAGATAGGCAGAGTGTAAAGCTGTTAGTGTAACACGGGTCAAAAGGGATAATTGAGAGGGCATACATAGGAATATATTGTAGTGTGTGTAACTGTTGGTCAGTCCCTTTGTTGCAATTGTAAAACATCCATGTTCATACTGGGGATTTTTTGGGTGAGGGGGGCAGACATGGGTTTAACTTTTTGAAATTTGCACACAGACCTATGACAAAATCAGATTCTTGGAATTGAGTGAAGTTTCCATCAAGTGACAACAAAATATAAAATGAAGCAGCATGGGGAGGGGCATCTGTAGCAAAGATGATTTTATTGTTAAAATGAAAATTGAATGTTATGGCCCAGTGCTGCCCAATGGCAGCTTCTCACAGCTGCAGCTAAATGATAACTGACAAAAAAGGCCATGAGCAGCCATGACCTATAGCCATCACTATTAGAGTAAGTGAAAGTGAAGCCAAAGTTAGTGTTTGTAAGGAATGGAAAGAGAGCAGAGACTACTTGTAACTCAAGGATGTTGCCAAAGGTTAATGCTGCTGATTCGGACCTTGGCTGATGGCAAAGGCCATGGAAGCAGTCCTGGCTCAGCAGAAGAAACTCACCATCTGGTTACTCAAATGCATTGGTATATTTGGATCATTCCTAATGCTGTCTCTTATAAAGCCAGCTTGTTTCAGATGTCAAAGGGAGAAATAGCAGAAATGTATGAGGACTTGAAAGGTGAAAAGTGGAAGGGAACTCAAATTATCTACCTGTGAAAAGGATGAAAAGGTAAATATTAAGATGCCAAAAGATGTAAGAGATCTGAGGGTTTTTTCTTGCTTCACTTGTGTTTCTCTGGGTAAATTGTGTAGTCCCCTGACATAGTGATATCACTGCACTAGTGAAAAATTCTAAGCTTGAGATGGTGTTGTGGTTTATCCCCAGCCAGAAACTAAGCACCACACAGCTGCTCGCTCACTCACTCACTCTTGGTGGGATGGGGGAGAGAATCGGAAGCGTGCAAGTAGGAAAGCTCATGGGTTGAGATAAAGACAGTTTAATAGGTAAAGCAAAAGCTGCACATGTAAGCAAAGCAAAACAAGGAATTCATTCACCAGTTCCCATCATCAGGCAGGTGTTCAACCATCTCCAGGAAAGCAGGGCTCCATCACACATGACCGTTACTTGGGAAGACAAACACCACTCCAAACATTTCCTTGTTCCCCCAGCTCTATATACTGAGCATGACATCATACGGTATGAGATATCCCTTTGGTCAGTTGGGGTCAGCTGTCCCAGCTGTGTCCCCTCACAGCTCCTTGTGCACCCCCAGCCTACTCACTGGTGGGGTGGTGTGAGAAGCAGAAGAGGCCTTGGCTCTGTGTAAGCACTGCTCAGCAGTAACTAAAACATCTCTGTGTTAGCAACACTGTTTTCAGCACAAATCCAAACCACAGCCCCATGCTAGCTGCTGTAAAGAATATTGTTCTACCCTGGTCAAAACCAGCACAAATAGTTCAGAGTTAGTAGGGAAGCTTTGACAGAATAAGTATGTTTGTGCGTTGGTTAACCAGTGAGTGGAACCAGCTGTGGAGCATGGCAGACATGCAGCTATGACTAGCATCAGCAGCTGTGGCTAATTGGAGTCCTTACTGTTCCTCTTCAGTCATTCTTCTGGGTACTGTGGTCCCAGGTGTAGCAGGAAAAGAAATTAGTTGATATGAATTACCTCTACCAGTAGTTCAGGTTTATTATAATGAAAGTCAGTGGACATTGGATGATCAAGGGAATATTAGCGTCAAACTCATCCAAGCCTTGAGAAAACTTTATTAGTAATGGTCAAACTCTTGGCTGGTTCATATCTGCATGACTGTATTGAACTCCTCAGCTGCAGGTCTGTCCCATAAACAACACCTTGAGCTTTCCTTGATAATGAGATTGGCACTTTTAATGTGGATTGTTTAACCACACCGTATTGATCTAGTCAGATTTTGATGTTAATTCATATTCATATCATACAAAATGGACAATTAAAAAAAAAACACTGAGAGGACTTGTTCTCTATTAATGGATGTTATTCCAAAATACTTTACTGGGTTTCTAGTGTAATGAAAACAATAGAAAACAATATATTTTTCAGCATGTTGGTGTATATCATCCATACTTTGTAGCATACCGAAGCCCCAACAATAGGAACTACTACTAGAAAAACAGCACTAAGGGCCAGGTAGTACAATATGACTTGCAGTGGTATATGAAACCCTCTTGCTTCCAGAGATCATTGATATTTATTTCAAAATTCTCAGTTTTTCAGAAAATAATATATATAGGATGTCACAAATTTAGGAATGATACTAAGGTAAGCTTAAATTATTGGATCAGAGAATCTGCAGTATCTTACAGTGCATTGAGAACTTTACTTTTACATCCAAAAGAGATAGGAAGTTTTATATTTATTTTTATGGAACTTTGATACAAATTATTGTTACAGGGCTTTTTTCCAGATCATATGATATGTTTTCCAAGTGAGACCAATGCAGCTGTAAGCCACTCTGGGATATTACAGGTACGTAATCTTTGAATGAAGATGAGCCAGCATAGCTCAGAATTTCCCATTGTCTGTGTTGTGTGAGCATAGCTCTTCATCACTGTTGGATCTGTTGCTTGATTTTGAATAACTGAAAATGTGGTTAATAACTTTTTTTCCTTATGAGTTATGATGTGGCCCAGTCCAGACACTTGGAAACTTGCATATTTGTTCAGAATCAAGGAGTGCCAAAACAGGCAAAATGCAGTAAAAATGGTTAGTGCCTTTATTGGATATTTCAGGTGAAAGACCCTGTTTCTTTAAATGGTGGAGTGCTGCCATACTCAGCACATACTTAACAGAAGGCCTTGGTAGAATACTGAGGAACTGGTAATGTGATACAAATGGATATAAAAAAGAGTTAAAAGGTCAAATTTAATGAGTAGAAAATTTAGACTGACTAGTATGATTTGTTAGCTTGAAGGCTACTGTAGCCTTCAAAAAAAAATATGGTAGGTCACTCAGTGTTAGTCATCCTTTAAGCGGACACACGATTTTAATTTACAGCGGGAATAATTTCACAGAATGACCATATCAGGGATCATCGTCTTACGTCTCAAAGAGAGGAAAAATGAGTAATAAAGGTGGAAACATACACATCACTCTTGTTTGCTTGTCACTAGAAAAATTAATTAATAGAAGAACTTTCACTGGTTTTAAGACAACAACGCTATGTGTGAGTTTTGGGGATAAAGAATGACTGGAAAGGCAACATGATAACACAAGATATTTAAGGTAGAACTAAAAGAAATACAGAAATTACAATTTTTTTAATCTATATAATAAATTCTACCATAGCATCCACCAGTAAATGTAAAATATTAAAGAACTAATTCTCCAAGCATTCTTCTGCATTGAATAGCTATATCCTTATAGAATCAGGTGTTAGTCAGGAAGTTAAGATTATCCCAAATCTAGTAAAAAATGTTTCAAATTAAATTTAATTGACACACACTAGGTTCTGTAAATAATTTTTACAAACCTAAATAAAAAAAATGTACTTTCAAAAGATGCTGCATAGCTAATGAAAATTGGTTCACTTTTGCAACCTAAATAAGAAATAGATTTTGCAGTCGAACATTTAATTTAGAAAATCTTGTCCCCTGTGTTAATAGAACTTAATATTTTTTGCTTGCAAATGTAATTTGGTAGTTTGAAAAAAATAATAAAGACTTTTATAATGGAACTTCTTGCCATATATTCTTGCACAGAACTTCCTTAAGCCCTAGAAGTAGAACACATTGTGATATGTATAACGTGTGCAAAGCTTATGGGTAAGATCAAGAATCATTCTGAATACATATAGTTACATCCCATTTTGATAGCTTGAAAAATTACGAACTTTCCTCTGTTCCTATTTTATGTTGTATTCTCTGTTTAATTGGATTTCGTCAAATAAAACTTAGTAGGCACAAAGTAGAGAATACCTTTGTGGATTGTGCAGCCGTCATGCACGTTTCAGCAGAAACTGTCGGGTAAATTGTTTAGAGTGTATTGCTATTTCCTTGGAAACTTTCATTAAGACAAGTTAATGAGCTCGCATTATTATTTGTGATATGCTTGGTCAATTATCAAGAGAGGTATTAGTTTAAACAACTCAATGCTTACAAGTGATTAAAAAAACCCACTTCTGATACTTTTGTAGCTGTTGATTGAGCTGTAAGCAAGTAAAATGTATGTTGTTATTGACTTTCATTGAAAGAGTGAGTATTTTGACTGATGACTTCAAACCAGAGCATCTAAATAGCCTCAAAAACACAAATACAAAAAAAGTTTCCCTGTCTCCTATCCATTTAGCATGTGCTAATTAAAATTACTACGTCTGACATATACCGAATGTCTATGTGTACCGAAGAGAGAGGTTTAATCTCTGCCATGAAGATCTGTAGCCTAAAAAAAGAAAAGTAGTATGTCACTATATTGATTAGAGTGTGGCTGTTCTGAGACACAACACTGTATGCACGTGTCTTGTAGGCAGCATGGATCATTTGGAACTTGCTTTAGGTTATTTTTGCAGATTGCATGCTTTAAAACATGTCAAAAATGAATGTAGTACGAAGATTTTAATCTGAGGCCTCTCCTATAGTAATGAAATACTCTATTCAGATTTTGGGGTGGGTTATTTGTTTGTTTTTTGAGAATTAGCAACTTTCCTAGGTGGGCAAAAAATGACATCACTAATTAGATGTGAAATTCTTGTTGAATGTAATCTTAAATGGGGCTTGTGACTTGTTTAAAACATTGTCTGCTTATTGGAGCAACTCTTGTTTTAGATGAATTCATGTACCTACTAGATCCTTTTGTATTCTTATTCATGACAGTATTTCCAATGAATAGACTGCACAGCATAGATACTGTTGACAGAATTGAGTCCTTCTGAGATAGTAGGTGAAATCCTAGCCTCACTGAAGGCAATATTATTTTTTTTAAATTACTTTGAAGGGGCATAATTTTATCCTTTGTTTCTTTCATTTTCTTTTTGTCTGTGAATAACATTTCTCCAATTTTGTGATTGTTTTTTAATCTTTAATTGTATTTGGTTTTTTTCACTATTCAGAATTTTTTTCATTATGCAGTATGACAATCACTGTTTTAAATTTAACAGTGCCATCTTCAAAATAGATGGTTGAAATTACTTGGGTAATTATGCTTTTTTCTGGTTTTAAGAATAGACATATTCCCCCCTGCTTCCTCAGTGTTTAATAGATGCAATTGATATTCAGGTTCTGTAGGTAGACTTGCAGTTCAGAGTTCAAGTCTTGTATTGACCAATTTGGCTGCTTCTTTCTAATAGCTTTTTACATATAATATGAATACATTAAAAAAAGCTATTGTAGATAGCACGTGTCCAAGCTGTTTTCCAGAGCAATCAAAAAAACCTTTCACCTGGTATAGAACATATTAAAGAAGGGACCATATGTCTTTCCTAAACAAATATAGAAAATAAATGTTATATATGCAGAAATTAAGTTAAATACAGAACAGGATTGCCAAGACAAACACCCATAATTTTGTGAAAGGTAGAATTACTGATACAGTCCTTCCCTTTTCCCCTTTTCCCATTTTCCCATTGCCATCTGTTGCCCGATGTTCTTAGTTGTTCCCATTCTACCTTCACAGGTTTAAGATTCAAACTCTAATTTCTTGACTCTGTCTGCCACTGCAAGTCCCTCTTTGCCTGACCAGCTTCTCATCTGACTCTGTTCCAGTCTTCAGGCTGAAGTAGCCGTGCACTGAATTTCAGTCTCCTAGACATGTTCTAGTCTGCCTTTACCCACCTCCCACACTGGGTTTTGCTGGCCTTTCTCCTCAGATTGACTGAAGTCTATAGGAGACAATAGTGAGAATCAGTATCAGTTCCTTGCTAGTACTACTTGATGCCCCCAAAATTTATCAGCAGGTTCAGGGGAAAATCCTTCTCATTCCCAGTTGCTTTGGGCTGGATCATGGCTCTCTCTCTTCACATCTTTGAAGAAATCAGTCATCACATTCAAACTTGATTCACAGAGTCTTAGGAAAATAATGGCTTCTCTAATTTCACTCTCCAAAATTGTGTGTAGTGCTCAAGAAGCCTCCACCACAGCAAACGTTATCTCCACAACAGCAAACGTTATCTCCACAACTGCAGCCATTCTTTCATTGAAAGCGGTGAAGGTGCAGACAAGTAAGTTGTAGAGTTAGGAGTGCAGCTTTCAATCTTTATTGCATCCAGTGACATCTAGTATTTCTGGTGATTTTTTCCTATCATATTAATCCAAACCAGTGCAATATTTTTCCTGTTCTGTTATTTTTTCACTTGTTGATTGATTCCCCCCCCCCCCAACAAAAGACACTTATTTGCTTTTTTTCATTCAGGTTGGTTTTAAATTGGCTGGTTTTACATCTAATCAAATCATAATCGAGTCCTTGATGCTGTCATGTATTAGTATCTGAAAGACATGGTAACATTTGACACCACCTTATATACCATGTTATATAGATCACCGCATGGGGGAGAGGGTGCAAGCTTATTTCTGCATATTGTGTGACCAGTAATCCTTGTCTGCAGCATACCATCATTTATCTCTCCCCACTTATTCTTCCTATATTAAGGACTTATCTTCTTTTTCTTATTATTGTTTTATTTTGATTACCTCTGATCTGCATAAACAGAAATCCATTCCCCCCCTATAATAAACTTGTATGTACTTCCTTTAAAAAGAGAACCACAAAACAACAACAAAAAAACAACCAAAACCAACACACAACAAAAAGACCTGAAGAAATTATTTTTTCTGCTGTCTTTAGTTTTAGGTATTTATTACAGATGTTCAGTTCTCAATCTGAGATATTTTTACTGCTCATTCATTGTGACAGTTAATGGTTTTGACTACAGCTTGTTCATGCTATATTTTCTCACACAGTCCTCAGCTGTCTTAGAAAGAAAAAGATGGATCTAGGATTGCCTTTTTCCTAGCATTATTGCTACTTTATTTTAATTGATAGCATGGGTACGACAGGGACTGTCAAAGCTGAGCTTTGTATTGCTCACCCACTTTGGTCTTCTGAGTAAGAAAAGCATTTTTCATGACAGCACTCTGGTTTGAAGCTCTTACGGCAGAAATCCTGGGGAAGATACTTGTGCAGGCTGGGAGCCAGCCACTCCTTTCATCTTCAGCAAAGATACTAAAGCCTAAAAAGATGCTCTTTTGGCTTTACATACATTGACTTAGATTATCCTAAACCTTCCATTTTACTTGTTCATGGAGTTAAAATACTTTTTCAATGCAGCCTTTACATTCGCCATCAGTGAACCTGTTAATATGTGGCAAATGGGAAGATTAACAGGCTGGACCACCTACCAGGACCTACTTGTCCACATCATAGTGGCTGAAATAGCTTAAACTGCATTTGTACACAGCTGTGTGCCAGCAGCACATGTAGAAAGATGTAGTTTAACTCTTCCGGCGAATAGCGGTGAAGGTATTTGTAATGCATTCCTGGTTGTGGGCTGGGGCACTGCCCTGCCAAAGGAAGCCTGCCCATCTACTGCATTCACATCAGCTGGGGACAGTCTACAGGTGGTACAGTCATGCTTCTGACTGCAAGGTAGGAAAACAATACAAGTGAAAGAAACCTTGTGTGTCTTGGTTGGACTGCGTTATTTAGTGGCCAAAGAACTTGGTATACTTCCAAAGTCCCGTTCACATCATCATGTTGCTGCAATCTGCTACTGGCCTGGTCTGTCTTGTGCCTGGTTATCTGTTGCTTCGTGTCCTCAGATCAGATTTTCTGGAAGTGGCAGTGGACAGGAGGGAAATGCAGCAATGAAAGCTGCAGATATCAGCCAGAACATCCCTTGTTCCCTATGTCTGTACAAGCCTAGATGGTATTTAGGATTCTGCAGGCCAGTCTGGGGCAAGGTTCCTTGAAGAGCTTAGTAACAGCACAGATTCCTTTGCATATATGGAAATGGAAGAATTCTAGGTTAGATGTGAGTCATAGTTCTGAGTAGTTTCATTGGAAGAGTTATAAAAATAAATGCATTACATGGAATTAGAATAAATTTAACACGGTTTCCAGCTTTTAGTGGTTACTTCTGCAGACTGAGTAAAACTGTGTACTTTGTCTTAGCAAGATGACAGCTGTGTTGCACTCTGACGATGTCTGGCTGAAACAGCTGAAGAGAAGCCATTGAATACCTTGAGTAGAGGCAGCGCATCAGTTAGCTTCTCTCAGTGCGTTAGTTAACTTCTCTGTCTATCCACATCTTTCTGCCTTTTCTGTGGTGTGTGAGGGCGGCCACCTTTCTCTTGCTGTTGTGGAGGCAAAATGGTTGATCTACCAGACTTTTAAGTCCTCTTTCCTTCCTCCTGATGCAGCTTTTTTCAGTATTCTCTGCCACATGACCTTGAGCACAGACAGGAGCTGCCTTGGTGACTGGCCCAGCCTCCCCTGGTTTTGATTCAGCTAAAGCTCCTACTTAAGCACCACTTCAGGTCCTGAGACCTTTGTTCCGTCCTTTTGAAAATGGTAATATCTGCCTGACCTGCATGGTTTTGGGATTCAGATTTTGTGATTTGTTTGCTGAATTAATTTTAACTCAGATCAGTTCCCTTATCTGGTTTGTAACACAGGAGACAGGGGGAATGTCTGTTTGTTTGTTGTTTTTTTTTTCTTTTTCTTCTTTTGGTAGCATTGATTTGCAGTTTTATATAAATAGGGTCTGAGGCATGGGATCAGAACTTCTTACACTGGTTTTGTTGCTGAAGTCAACATATTGCGTAACTAATGCTCTCATTTCAAACCGTATGTTCCATATAAATATGTAACTTGCTTAGCATACCTTGGAGTTGTGTAACATTCTATGCACTTTAAATCAGAGGTACTCTTAATGGGATTAGATGCAATCATAACTGAATTACTGTGGTGTGATAGTGGATTTAGGGGTTTATTCCCCTTAGTCCTGTCTGAGTATGTTAATGAATCAGAAAGCTGGTTTCAGATGAAAAGAAAAATGCATGTTCTTTCAGATGTTTCTAAGCTCCAGCACGTATCCTGAGATTCATGGTTATTTGCATGCAAAGGAGCCGGGGAAAAAATCATGGAAAAAATTGTACTTTCTTTTGAGAAGATCTGGCCTTTATTTTTCCACTAAAGGTACATCTAAGGTAAGAGGCAAAAAAAGGAGAGAACTATGAAGTTAGAGCAAATGTGTATGTATTTATCGTTTGTTGTAATAATAGCCAAAATTTGAATTTTGACTTATAAAAAGGAAAAAAAAAATCTATTTATTATAGATAAAATATAGAGAGATATTGCGATATAAAATTGGGAAGATACTGTCTTAGGAACAGTAATTTCTTTTTGCCTGGTAACTTTGCTTCATTCTGGTTAATACTTTTCCAATCAGTTAACAGAGTACCATTTTAAAATGAATTTTCAGATAGTAGTTAAAATTCTGAAGTAGAAGTAGATGCTCTGAAAAGTGGCCATAATACTTCATTATCTAAAATAAACAAAAACCTGTGTATAAAAGGATTTTACCAGAAGATTTTGAGAGTTCTCAAATTTTGTCACTGGGCAGGTTTTCATTTTACTAGTTCAACTTTTTGATGGCAGTACTTTAAGCCTGATTATGTTAAACAGGATGCATGGGACTTGACACCTTTTACATAAACTACTTTAAAACAATGCTTTTTCTTGTTCTGAATTTTCTGTGTTAACTGCCACGGTATTCACTGAGCTATTTTTGTATCCTTCAGCAAATTTCTTTCATTTGCTTCCTTGACTTAATTAACCTTAGAGGATGGAGTTAATGGTTAGAAATAGAAATTACTGGGCAGTAATTATTACAGTATGTTTTTCAGATTATGAAAGTGTATTTTATTTTGATGTTTGAAATGCATACTGCTCTCAAAACTTGACTCCTACTCTAATATTATTGTGGCTTGAATTTAGTGGATGTTTTCCCAGAAATGATATCATTTGTACTTTGTTTTTTCTCCCTCTTTGGAAGAATGAACTCTTTGACTAGTTTGAGGTGGTTTTTTTTCTCTGCATTATAAAATTGATGTGGAGTTGTCTCTTTCTAGATTTCATGATGTCACAGTTAAAACTGCAGTATGTAGGACTATTTTGGAACAGGATAGGACTACTATACTCTTCTGAGTTTCTTATCTGGAGATGCTGGCTAAAAATAGTCTAACTGTATTACATTGCTCTTCTTTTTAGGAGCCAAGGCATCTGCAGTTTTTCTGTGAATTCAGCAATAGTGATATGTACATGTCTTTGACAGGCAAAAAGATTTCTGGAGCACCAACAAACTATGGATTCTGCTTTAAGGTACAAGCTTATTATTCTGATACATATTAAAGCAAGCCACAGTTTTTAGGTAAGCCTAAGTTTCTGTAAGGTTTTTGAAAACAATATTCAGCTGTCTGTTATAAAATAGGAGAATTAGTGGCTTTTATTTCAACAGGTATTATCTTCAAGATATGCATTAATGCTAAAAAAATGTGCTGTGGCCTTCTAGCCTAACAAATCAGGAGGAACCAGAGACCTGAAACAGCTCTGTGCAGATGATGAACAAAGTAGGACCTGTTGGATGACAGCAATTAGGTTGCTTAAGGTAATTTTTCTGTGTGGCGCTAACTTCTTGCTTAACTTTACTATGTGAAATTTTGATACCATGCAGTAGAGAAGTAATGTAATTCTAGGTTCCCATGCAATAGCAATATCAATTTTGTACTCTGAAAGCTTATTTTTCTTCATCCCAACAGAGAGAGACCAAATTACTGGAATCATTGTAGGGGATGGGATTATGTCTTGAAACTTAAGTCCTGCAGATATACATAAACTTAAACATTAAGCATATGCTTATATGTAACCATGTTGAATTCAGTGAGATTATTGAGTAATGTTCAGCAAAGCTACAAGAAAACACAAGAAGGGAACTTTAATTTGTTTTTAAAATGTGTCTGTTTGTGACAAAATAGGAACAGGTCAGTTGATGCATTAAATGGGTAGTATTTAATGCAGTGCGTACATTTATAAAGGCAGCGGCAACAATGATGATGTGCATTTCTTTATCCTTACAGCATTTGTCCCTGTTTTTTAATGGTAAAGAAAAGCATGTGTTATCTTTTACATCTGGAAAAAAAATGACTTGGCTTAGGTTTATAATTTAAAATGCTAACCATGTTATTTTCTGGTTTTAGTATGGGATGCAGCTGTATCAGAATTACATGCAACCATATCAAGGTAGAAGTGGCTGCAGCCCTTTGAATGTAACACCTATGGTATGTCCCACAGTAGCTCCATGAATACATACGTTGTTTCTGCCATCATGCTATTTTTAGGTAGCAGTTATACTACTGACCTGATCCTGCAAATCTTTGCATATGTGAATGCTTGCCGAAATCTTTAGAGCTGTCAGGTTTGGGTAGAGAGCTAATTAATTTACTTACCCAATACAAATCTGATAGTTCAGGCCAGTTAACAGGCTTTTTCCCTTTGCAAATCTCCAGTATCTTGGGAGTTCATTGGCTTATTATCACCGTCAAAAGAATGGAAAGAGGATTTTGAAAACAGACCGGCAGAACTATAAATGCATTAAAAAAGAAGCAAAGTGTTTAAGGTTGCACATGCTGTAAATGATGAACAAGAAAGCTATAACAAATCCTTTTCAGTAATAATTCCATTTTATTATTTTTTTAATATAAAATATTAAGTATTTGAGATTAATTTCAACTGGTGTAATATTGACTGGACTTCAAAGGAACACCATAATTTGGTAGAACTGGGTTTTGGAGGAACAACAGCTTATACTAGATGCTGTGTCCATCTCCTCAGTCAGATAGTTGGGATTGGATCAGGTTGCCCTTATGTTACTCCAGTTGTTCATGAGTCATTTGATTTCAGACTTTTTCATGGGTGATTTATATCACTGTTGTGGTTTTTGTTGGCTAAATTAGGTAAAATTACTTGTTGCCAGGACTTGTGGCAGGGATTTTATGGTGGATTTTGTTAGCTTTTATTGTAGTTCTTGCTGTTAAAATGCCTAAAGTATGCATTTGCTATTATAGGTATTCACAAAAATAGTTTTTAGTGATATTGCTAATAAGCATGGCTTCAGAATTGTGCTTAATACACTGACCGTGTCTTTACTTTCTGTTATGTGAAGCTGTTACAATATCCAGCTGCTGCTTTTATAATGGATCTGGGAGCCATTACTGATTCTCTCACTGCCGTGTGCATTTTAGCTCATGTAGCTTCTAACACAGGCAGAATCTATAACCAATATTAAGCGTGGCACTGTTTTTCTCTTTGTGTATAATTCATGAATGAAACTGCACATTAGATAGACTTGGGAATTAAGTGCACAAGCTAATGACCGTACTTCATAGGGGAACCACTTCCATGTTTCACGTTCACTCAAAAACTCACAACCATGTCAGCTACACAGAGTTCCCTCCACTGTCCTGGAGGCAAACATTTTCTCTTATTTTGCCCTTGTTTTTTTACTTTTGCTAAGTTCTTTACAGCTTACAGTTACTCAGCCCTTAGATTACACTCTCAAGAATTACAGTGAACTACAGAATTGCTGCATTAAAAATTTCTAGTTATATTCATGCTTGTAACCAAACAGGAACAAAACAGAGCTGCTTTGGTTTTGGACTGGGAAGCTTTGTTAACCCTACAGAAATCTGTGCCTTTGTGTTCCAGATGTTACTTTAACTTCTAGAATGCTAGAATGCTCTTTTAATTGTTTGATATTCCAGTGCCTGCCAACATTTGAGCCATTACAATCCATATTAAACTTGATTTTGCAAGCCTTGGTTTCTGAGAAGTAATTTGGTGAGTTTTAAGACTGTTTTGTCAAAATTCAGTGCTTTTTATTCTACTGTTACAAACTTGATCTTCACTGGGAGAAAAAAAATTTTGTATTTTATCTGTTTTTTTGGGGTTTTTTACTTGGACAACTTAACAGTTTCATGGCTTGCTTTGGCATGCAAAGGGCTAGTTATAGTTAAAAATATAAGTAGAGATTATGGTAAATGTATTTATCATCCACTGCAGTAATGCAAAAAGATGATCTATCCTGCTAGACTGTAAAATTGAGCTTTGCAGCAGCATACTGGAATTACAAATGCTCCCTAGGGTAAAATGAGTTTGGCTCTGATGGGAAACACTGCAGACACCTCAAACACCACTTACAAAACATACTGTTTTCTCAGAAGCTCACTTTTAAATGATGAATCTTTTAAAAAATGAATAAACTAAATTTATTTTTCTTTGTTGCAGAGAAGCATTTCAGAAAATTCTTTAGTAGCAATGGATTTCTCAGGACACAGAAGCAGAATTATAGAAAATCCAACAGAAGCCCTTTCAGTTGCAGTTGAAGAAGGATTAGCATGGCGGGTATAAACACCTTTGCTTTATCAGAATAGTATTTTCTGATTTTTTTTTTTTTTTAAAAGCAGCTTTGAAATCATGTTTTTACTTCTGTCATACAGAGAAGAGGGTGTCTACGACTCAACTCACATGGTAGTCCTATTGCTATGTCTAACATGGGTATGTGTGAGTTAATTCATTGCCAGAGAAATAGCTGGTTCTTTTGATAAAGGCAAAATGTATTTTAAAGATCTTTATTTCTACAGCTATACACAGATCTCAGTCATGGTTTCATCATAAAATCTCTAGAGAAGAGGCTCAGAGACTTATTTTGCAGCATGGACTTGTAGATGGGTAAGTTAATTCTTTACATAACTCTTCCGAGACATACATGTCTAGTCAACAACTGCTATTTTCATCTATTTCTTATTGGAGGGGAGATGGAGGAGGGAAGATTTTGCACTTACCTAATAGAAATAAAAATTCTTTTATATAGGGCTATCTGGGGATCAGTTGGTTTCTATTTTATATCTTTTGGAAGCAATAAAGCAGTGATCTAACACTTCGATTCTGTCACTGACAGATTACTTATGTCCGCTCAGAGCCGGGCACTTGAGCTCTGTATTTGCACAATATTCTCTGGGAACTGTCAACTTTGGCACCAGTGTCTTTTGTATCTATTAGTGATGAAAGAATAAAAGAAAGCCTGAAAACATTGACTAACCTTATTCTAAGATGAACTGTGCAGGGACAGCCATTGAAAATATATGCTTTTCATCATGAAATGACTAAAAATCTTATTATCCCTTAATGGTAAACTATAAACATTAGGATAAGAGTTTTATTTTTCTCTCATTTAAGTATTAATTTTTTAAAAAATGCAAAGCAGGTAGGTATTTTATGTTCAAATCCTCCTGTTTTTCATTTCCATATTTTTATCCTTACTCCTGTATTAAATGTGAACTTGGGCCTCCTTCATTCAACAAGTAATTCCATGAAACTCTAAGTTTCTCTAAGTCTGTTTTCATTTAGATACCTGTAACATCAGATTACTGGTTAAATTCCTTCAGGTTTAGGTTAAGTATGTCATAATACTGTTTTCTACATCTGCAGAAAAGGCTCTAGGGGAGAAAAAAAGCGATGGAAAGTAAAGGGAGACAAAAATAGTAATCGTCAGCAAGGATGGCTAATTGGACTTCCCCTTTTGTATTTTTTCTTCTTTTTTCATTTCAGGGATCCTGTTTTTAAGCCTGGCTAATCATCCCAAAACTGATTCTGTACTCTGTGTTCATTTTTACACTTGTTACATGAGAAGGATGGGACATGGGGATGAATCCAACCTGTATTTCTGAGCAGTATGTCAGTCTAGGGCTGATAATTTTCCAGCGTATTTCAGTGGGTACACACACATATGGTTAAATGAAACCCAGTAGATTTAGCAAGCAAAGAACAATAGTGTTTGAGATGAGAAGGTGAATACCTTGCTAAGATTAGTTTAGTACAGTGTTGTTTATATTATATTCTTGGATCTATTCGTAGATATGCATTGTGGTTTTGGTGAGGATGATACTCTTACATGGACTGTCTAGAATTGATTAGAACTTGGTAACATGAGCGCTCATACACTGTCAGATACATAGAATCATAGAGTGGTTTGGGTTGGAAGGGACCTTAAAGATCATCTAGTTCCAACTCACCTGCCATGGTCAAGGACACCCTCCACTAGACCAGGTTGCCCATATTCAGGAGTTACAATGAAGTCGTGACTACATTACAGCATGTGACAAATGCTGTGCTTTTTGACAGGCTAAAAGAATGTATATACCAACAAATAGGCTATTCATGATGGCTTATAGAAGATGAAGAAACTGTTATATAAAGGATCTATAGTAATCTCAGTATTTGAATAACCCAGTAACAGAATTGGGGACAGCAACAATCTTAAGGTGTGCTATGAAGGAATAAGGTTTTTGGATTTACTGTTCTGATGTAAAAGCAACTTTCTTAACGAAGTTTATGTAGCAATATTGTAGATTTCATATGTTACCCCCTAAAGGAAATTTGAAGATTTTTCAGTGCTAAGTAGTTGACAGGATTGCAAACTGATTGGCATCGGATTGATGAACGGCATAATAGCATTACCAAAAGGCTCATGACAAAATGCAACTGGTCATTCAGAAAATTCCTTGTAAGTGTATGAAGGAGCAGTTGTTTGGAGTCATCCAGCATGTCTAAAAAGCTCCCTTCCAACCAACATTTCTAAGATTCTATGAACTACAACCCTTTCTTCATAATAAAGTGATCTTTTTAAAGGTTCTTTGACAACTAAAGTAGGTCTATTGTGATAAGGTTAGAAAAGAGTAAAGATCTTTTTATGCAAAGGAGAACAAATGTTACTTATCTTTGCTGTTAAAACAAGGAAAAAAGTAAGAAAATGGACTTTAAAGAACTGATGAATGGAAACATAAATCCTAATCAACCTGCATTTTCTTTCCTGCCCAATGTGATTACTTTGTGTATTGTTTAATTTGAATCCCAGTATTTGGGTGTAGAGACCTCATTTTGTGTATCTGCAAAGTGGCAGATTCTTGTAGCGTCATTTTTCTATATAAAACAAAATGCCAAGTCCTTAATGACAAACACATAAAAGATTTGAGTTTATGCAAAGGGTCTATCTAACTGTGCTCTGGAAAATTTTGTTCACCCTGGAGAGGGTGAAGGGCCACTAGGTGGTGAGAGAGAGCTTGTTAGGAGAGCCTGAGTCTTCTATTGAGAAGTCTGATTTGTCCGTATACTTGCATGTGCTCTGGCAATCCGTATACTGAGGTGGCAATTATCCCTCTTTAATAATTGAATTAGTATCAGACCTCTGAATTAGACTGTATGGGGATTTTGATAGAGATGTTAATGATCATGCACTCCAAATTTCTTAATTCCAGGTATTTTCTTACTTTGTAAAAATAGAACTCTTAAAAACTTTGAGAATGAAACTAATAGCTTGTATCCATGCGGTTAGTGAAAATCCACTGTAAGCCTGTCTGCTTTCTTCTCCTGAAATTCTTTCTTTTCATATATAGTTGTGCTCTCATTCCTGGTATGTGGTTGGGCAAAAGTAGGTGGCCATTAGTGCTCACTTGGTTGATACCTGCAAGTCCATTTTGCCTGTTTCTTTTGCGCCCTGAAAGAGGAGCACGCTTGCCAATGGCTGTCTCTCCATTTCCCTTCTTTGGTACCTGGGTTAGCTATATCTGTGCCAGACCTGCACAGTACAAACGGTTCAGACTCTCTCCCCTACAAAGAATACCTGTGAATCGGGTACTTCCCTCTGTCCTCCAAGAGGTTCTTCTCTGCCGATATTCCAAACCCAGTGATTCAGTGAAAGTTGTCTCGTATTGATAATCATCTTTTGCCTGTACCAGATTAACCTACCAGGATTATGGCAAAATGACGTCGGTCCATAACCTGACTGGGATAAGTTATCCGTGAACTAGCTGCAATGCCACTGTTGGCCACTCAGAGTGTTGTGATTTGAATAATGATGCCATAAAGTGAGCAGAGTGTTCATCTGTCTCAGTGGGAATTTTGTCAATGTGCAGAACTGAGTTTGCATTTATGAATATTGTCCAGATGTGAAAATCATTCTGATACGTCTTTCATTACCTTTTCTGTAAGCTTCCTGTTCAACTACCTTTTGAATTTTCCCTATAACACTTGTGATTTCGGTAACTGTCAGAACCCAAAGAAAAATTCTGTTCAAAACACAAACTTAGAGGGTGCTTTTTTGTCTAAAGAGATGTGTTGTAATTCTGTGCAGTGTAAAAACTAATGTCTACAGCAGCATTCATTCTGAGAATGCATATTTTTCACATAATAGAAGAATTTACGAAGGTGAAGAAGAATTTAAGAAAAAGTATTTCCAGTGACACGTTTGCAAAGAAATACTGATTAAAAAACATAACTTACATAATACTATTTTTGCTTTTCACTAATTCTTACTGTAATGAATTTACAACAGTTTTAACTGGATATTTACAAAAGGCTTTCCAGAGTGATCTCACTGTGAAAATTTTCAATCTCTTTTAGGGTATTCCTTGTACGTGATAGCCAAAGTAACCCCAAAACATTTGTATTGTCATTGAGTCATGGATTAAAAATAAAGCATTTTCAAATTGTACCAGTAAGTAAATTTTTCAGTTTATATATACAGTTGTAAAACAAAACGTTTGAATAATTGTGGTAGAATAGTGATGGATTTTTTTTTTGTTTTGGTGTTACGTGGAAGATGTAAACATAATACCTGTATCACTAAAAAATAATTAGTATGCTTGAGTAGAGTTGAACATTTTTGAGCTTTGTTGTTTGATTTGTTATAAAGCTTGACTAGTATTATGAAATCCTAAAAGGTGCCTTGAAAAAATCGACAAATCTATTTGAACTTGAATAGAAGCAACCCTGGTGGTATGAAAATCATGTTTTAATAAACTTCATATTGCCTTTCTTTTTTCAATATGTGCACAATTTCTTCTTAGTCATCTTTTTAGGTGGACTGCCTGTGATGTGTGTATATATCTCACTGACTCATCTGTTCAGGAAAGTTTCTGTCAATATTTGCAGTCAAACATTTTTTGCTGACCTCTCTTCTTGATTCATGTTATTGTGGTATATTTATGTCCCTGTCTTCTTCAGGGGCACAATGTTAGCAAAAAATTATATCCTTATTTAGTCCAGCTACTTATAGTTAAGCTGAAATTTGTTAAATTGAAATCATATTTCCATCAGTTTTCATTGAAGATGCCATCCAATTCTCCTACCAGAATGGCCAGCTTTCCCCATCCCTTCCACTCCTGCAGAGGTGGTTTATACTGTTTTCTTTACAGGCTGCTTCCGTTGAGATGAGAAACACTTTAGCATTACGTGTTTTAGCCACAGATGCTTGACATAACTGAGCAGACCTATAGCTTTTTCTTCTCTCTTCATAAGAACCTTTCTTCCAGACCACATAATACTCTAGTCCCCATGCTTCTTCCTACTGAAGTTTCTAGGAGATTCTGCCATTTCTCAATAGAAATGAGTGTAGTGGCATTTATTTTTTGTTTCTAATCTGGTGATCATTCACCAAATTTCTGTATGCCTTACCTAGGACTTGTAGCTTATATCCTCCCCTAAAAAGGTGCTTGTAGAATAAAACTGAAGCATTATTTGGGAGGAGGAAAGGAGTGCATTAATGTTAGTTAGGTACAAACAATGGAGGAGTCCTTCATCCAAAAGTGATAGCTATGCCCTGGGTCTCATACGAGCATCAGTGTCTGCTCTGTGATCAGAATCCCAGGCATAAGATCTCTGTGCTTCTATTGACGATGGTCGCTTCTAGTATTTACTTTGGGATAGCTGTTGTGTGGTTTAGAAAATCTTCTGAACTCCATACAAACACTATATGATTCCACTTCATTGGGATGTCATTTAAGTCTCAAATTTAAGAGATCACTTTTTCTTTCCCTATCAGGAAACAGACCCTCTCTTCTGTAAGAGAGATGTGGCAGGAAGCTTGAGTTTCCTCTGAGCTGCATGATCCTCCTCTTCCCTTCAGAAAAAATTGTCCAGTCACTTCTAATGTTATTCTGCAGATGTAAGCAGTGCATTTGAGGAAGGGAACGTATACACACATACTAAAACCTTGCTCTCCTATTGTAGGATCTGTGGAGGAACTAGGAAGTGTTTGTTTTGACATAAATTGTCTACAGACTTCGGTAAATTTTTCCTGTTGATGGTCTAGAAGATCTGTACGACTTCAGTGTAAAACCTGTCTTACTTGAAGGAAAAAAAAATTATTGTTTTTGAAGTAAAGCAATTTATCCTATGCTAGTTACCAGAAAAAATAAGCCTGTAATGAGAACAACTTAATCCAGAGGGAGAATGTGAATATGGAAACTGTTAGTTCCCTAATCAAGTCCTTTCTGTTATTTAATTTCCAGTAGCATTCAGTACTCTTCATGCCATTCTCAGTACTTTGACGTACCACATGCTCTGGTTTTGCTAGAACAATACTCTTTAAGGAGTTCAGAGAAGTATTTTTTGAATGAGAGGGAAAGGGTTTGCTTCCAGTTGCTGCTGATCTTGTAAATGAAGTTATCATTTTCTAAGAAGCAAGGCATTTTGTGTTACTGCAGTAAGTTGGTAGCTTACTGGTTGGAGATCAAGGTTACCTTTTCGAATTTCAAATCCTACTGTTCTTCTAAATTCTTGCTTTTTTCCAGTCATTGGGAAGAGAAGATGAACTTTCCTACTAAATGTAAATAAATCAATGGCATCGAGAAGGTCTTCTTACAAGTTAAAAATAATTCAACTCTAAATGAATTATTTTTTTCTCTTATACCTTAGGTTGCTCTAGGTTATCCTGCATTTATAAATGTCTCCTTTCAGATAGGGCATGCAGCCTGCCAATTCAAGCTGCCCCCACATTAACAGATGCATCATGTTAACATTGGTAACGTACGACAGGTATGGCAGGTGGGTGGCAGGGAATTGATTGTAAAAAGTTGAAAAGAAAACCTTTGGGATACCTTTGGGATCCCATGCTGTGAAAACTGGAGAACTTGATAGCTTAAATGCATTTTTTGGCTTTACTACTCTGATAGAAGTTAACTTCAGTGTAGTCTATGCTGAAATTAGCTGTTCTGTAGTCCATGTGAAAGAAGAAGAATTGATATGCATTTCTGGGACTATCTTTTTCCAATCACTGTTCTCTCATAACAGCCGCCTTATCTTGCAGAACATGTTAGGTTCCTGGGCAACATAACTTTGATATGACTTTTTACTTTGCAAATATAAATTGCTTTAGAATTAGCAATCCGTCTGGTATTCACTTCAAGGTTTGGGATTAACTTGGAGAGGGAAAAATAAGCTAAAAATGAAATCCCAGTCAACAGAGATCTCAATTGTCAACTCTTCCTTGTCTTCAGTGTGTTGGCAGGAAAATTGCATGCATAAGGAAAGTTCGATGGATGATAATCCATTTTCAGATTCTTGGCTGGAGCACAAGGAGTTTACACAGGCACACATTGATAATTCCTTAACTAGCAGTGTTTGACCTGGGTTGACCAAAGTCTGAGAATAAAGAAATTACAAAGTACTTTTACACATGGTATAAAAGGGCTAGAATAACCAGGAGTTATAAGCAGTTCAACAGCTGCTTCAGATGAGAAATCTTATTTACAGATAAGAGAGTGAATTATATCTTCTCCGTTCCCCTGTACTCAAGTAGGGGGAGTTGCATCTTTCTCTAGTACACCATCTGCTACTCAATGCTAGTCCTACTTCAGGATCTTCTCTTCACTACTCTCTCAATCTTGTAAAGTATCTTTTTTCCCTTTTCTTTTTAAAAAAGGTTTAAATAGATTTTTTTTACCTTCTGTTTACATGAATACTAATTAGTCAGTATTGCACTGAAGCTTCTTGATACTAGTTGTAACAGCAGTAGAGGACATAAATTGAGAAAGTATATAGTCAGCAGTGCAATACAAATTGTGTGAGAGCTAATATTCGGTAACCTAGAATAGGGAAATACCGGTTGTAAATTTTTAAGCATCTAAAAGTCAAAAGTAATCTTTCAACGTATGTTTTCTTCTTTCTCTCCTGTATCTATGTTAATACATGCATTTGGAGCTGCAGCAGTTCTTTCTCCTACAACAAAGAACGTATTACTACATCAAGCACGTTACTTTTGTGGTGGGCAGTTTCTTGTGTAGCAAACATCATCTAGTACACTGGTGCACTGCTGTGTAGCTACATTGCACATTACAAAATCAGCAACACAAAATGTAGCGGGTACACAGAACGTGAGTGGAGCAAAGGTTGAAATCCATGAGTAAGTTGAAGCTTGGTTGTTTCTTGTCACTCTGTAAAAAACCTCAGTGTTCGTATTAACTCTAGCTATCATTCCAAAGCAAAGGCATAAAGTAGTATTATTAGTGCAGAAAGAATATTCCTATACTCACTTAACTGTTTTGTCCTTTTAGGCAAGTACCATTTAACTTAAAGGGGAAGTTAAAGAATGTATTATTTTTGTTGTTTATTTTTGATCCTGCTGTGAATGATCACTGTGTTTTTCCTTCTCTCAGTAGTCATAAGATTATGAATGTCTTGGTCTACAAGAAGACTTCTCAAATAAGTATTTCAATCGGGAACAAATACCATAGCAAAAGAGGATTTTTATTCTACCTTGTTTTTCTATTTTTACAGTTGGAAGATGATGGGAAGCTATTCTATACCCTTGATGATGGTCATACCAGATTCACTGATCTCATCCAGCTAGTGGAATTCTACCAAGTTAATAAAGGAGTACTGCCTTGCAAGTTAAAACACTATTGCACACGAAACGCTCTTTAACCAAAGCATCTGTAATTTGATCAGAGGGAAAGGAAGATACTAGAATACCTTTTCCTTTTAAGGCAATTTGTATAGAAAGATGGGAAAAAGCATTGCATTGTAAAGATTCTATGTTTAAGCTGCAAAAAAAAATTTATATTCTATATAGATAAGAACTTTGCTTTGTGATTGTCACAGCAAAATTAATGTTAAGGTTTTAAAAAAAAACATTCTTACCTATGTAATTCTTTAGTGTTGTCTTGGACTTTTTTTTTTAACTGAAAGCAATTTTTAAAAAAAATAATAATGTGTAACTTCTACAAAAATATAACTAAAGGGAAGATCTTTGTTCTTAGGTTTAAAAATAACTTTTTGTCTCTTCAAATGCTTCTCATGATTTCTATTCATCACATAGAAAAATAACATTTACTGTGGTGAGGATAAGAAGTTGAACTGCACATTTTATTTGTAAATAAAATGAATAAATATTTTTCACTATATTTTTGAATGCTACTTTGAGGATTATCATATACAAAAAGTGAAAAATCATTAAAACTACTTATAACTGATCAGCTGTATTGAGTTGTGCTATTACTGTTGTAATATTTTAAAGGATTTTTTTCTCTAATGACTAAATCTACATCTTTATACAGAGCTGGAGTATCACTCACTTGGCTGTGATATGTATAAACATGCATAAAGTATCAAGTAGTGCGTAAAGTGGTTTAATGTATACCTACAGTCCCTAACAGAGAGAGGGAGAGACCGAGCTGTTAGGTGCTATGGATTGTTGCAGAGTTGGGGAGGCAATCTACTTCAATTGACCTTAAAAAATAAAGGTAATGTTATCATATTTACAAATTTACAATGCTTCCAAATAAAGGTAAACCCACGGAACTTTAATCTCTGCCAAAAACCTGATGAGAGTGTATTTGCTGTTAGTTGCTAGCTTATTTTATTATTTATCACAGAGTAAAAATTTCAATATAGCTACCAGTCAACGAGTCTTTAGAGATTACCAAACATCTAACCTTCCAGCTAAAAAGAAGTTACGGTAGACCGAATCAAATCTTGGGTCATAGCATTAGAAATACTTTCGGTATCTGTGTTTTGAAAGAGAGATGATACTGCTGCATCCTTGACCAAAGACTGGAGTGGAACGGGGCTTGGATAGCAAGAGGCATCCCAGTCCTGATGCTTTGCTGTCCAATAGGTTTGATCTTGCTATGAGGGTTCAGGACCTGGCCCTGGGTATCTTTAGGTGGGGCAAAGGTTGGAGCGCAAGGTAATGCTTGGAGATGGGCCATCACACTGAATGTGGCACCTCCTTCCTGTGCTCGCTTGCATTCTCTGACTGGCATACCAGCTGTTCTGCTGTAGGAGCGGTGGGGAGAGAGGGTGAAGGAGGCCTGGGCAAGGCATGGAGTCAGATGGACCTGAGGCACCGCAGCGCCAGTGTACGTAAGCCGACAAGGTCATGTAGTTGGAAGCATTATAGTATGGTAGCTCTAGCCTATGGTTTTGTTACTGTGTGTCTGTGGAAGGCAATCATAATAACATAATACTGTGATACTTAATTTACTGACTTGATCCAGACATCACTGACCTTTTCCTCGGGTATGCAAATACAGTTTTTAAAGCTCATTAAAAAGCTTTAAACGTGTACCAAAGATGCAACATAGGTGGTGCTTAAGCTCATTACATTAGGAATGCCTTGTAAAACTTCACAGTCTAATAAATTTAACTCTTAAAACTTGAATGTAATTTCAAATTGTAATTACAAAAATATAGTTTTAATTAAAACTTCTTCAGATTTAATTTAATAATGTGATTACTTCTCAGGCCTAGTATTATTTCAGAGTTTGGTATACAATAAGGAGAAACATTCTCCTCTGCATCCCTGGTTTTTTGATCATCTTCTGCAAGCAAAATGAATTGTCTACTGTAGTCCATTTCTACTTGGACATGTGAAAGCTTTGCTGTAATTTACATTTGTATTTATGTATTTGCTAGTATGCTTGGTAGAGAAGCTAACTGCTCGGAGAGTGAGTACCTGTCACCTTTGGACCTACCAGAAAAGAAAAGAGAATGTGAGGTGGGGATTATGTCATGTGGTGGGGAAACATCAACCGTCAAGAATCTTTGCTTGCTTTTTCAGGGTTTTTTTCATGAGTGAAATTGAAAAAAGAAAACCAAACTGCAACATCAAAAATCCCCAAGTAAAACAAAGTATTGCTTAATGAGCGTGGGTTTTGGACATTTGAAAGTTTTTAACTGGCAAGTATTCAAAGCATTCTTTGTAAAGTGTTGCCTCCTGCATTTGACCAGCTCTCTTAATTACAATCTAAACTAAAATCTTGCTGAGAATACAAGATCTTTTTTTTTTTTTTTTTTTACAAATGTGCATACCTTTCCTGAACTGTATGGTTGATTGTGACTATGCCATAAACACCAAACCAGTAAAACTAACAAAATCTAGTTTGGTGTTTAAATGACTTAACCGGCTATCTCCTTGTTTAAATATCACTGATGGAGTCATAATGTGGAAAACGAAACAAACAAACAAAACCCCAAACCAAACAAAACTCTCTGATATCCCAGGCTACTTTAAAACATGCTAAATGGTACAGGTGGTTGGTGCATGACTCACAAGATCCTTCTAGCAACCAGTATTTTCTTGTCAGAAAAATGCCAAGGTTTTTTATGGTACCACCCGGGATATGTCTGACCATAAAGTTCTTTGAGGGTGTAGGCAATGCTGTTTAAACAGAATTTCAGTCTGCTAACTGTGGCTTCTAATTAGGAATATTACACTTTGGTGCCCACCTTCACAAAGAAAATTGGCTAATCAGAAGATGTTAACGGCTCAGAGAAATCAGTGCTATTTTGGGCAAGTCAGTCTATCTGTCTCCAACAGTTTGCTTCTCTATGAAATGGGGACAGCTTTATACCTACCTCATAGAGCATTTAAGGACTGATTTTTTAAAATTTTTTTCTTAACTAATAATTGGAATTGGTATTGTTTGCAGAGGGCTTTTTTTTAATACATGATGGAGTGACACATTTTTACCTTTACTTTGGGGAGGTCAGAATCTACAGTCTTAAACTTCTTGGTGGAAAATCAGTGTCAAAAGCACTTAGGTTTGAAGCATGATATTTGAAAAGCACTTCATGCTTTCTTCAGATTTAAAATTTTATACTTCTGTGAGCCTATCTGCGTATTGCAGTGCCAGTGCCAGGAAGAGAGAAGGAGGCTTGCCACGCAGGGGTACCAGAGGCAGTGTGAGCGTACAAGCCCAGCTTCTGATCTGGGGTAATCAGCCCTACAGGGGTACGTGCCGCACGACGTGAGCCAGTTCAGAGATTGCTCTAAAGCTCAGCATTGTATTTGTGGGCATGCCCTTTGTGCCTAGGTTTCCAATCTTAAAATCTTCTTTGCTCAAAGGAGATTAAAAGTTAATTCACTGGTGTTTCATAATGCAGATACATACACAGCCAGAATTAAGGTTGCAAGGGCAGCATTAAATGACATTTTTAAACTTCTGAGTGTTTTTACTTAACAATCTTATTAAGTCACTTAATGAATTTTTTGAAATGTAGCAAGTCTTCAGTTCGTCAAACTAAATGTTTTGAAAGAGAGCTTTAACCCATTAAATAAAAGAGGATTACATATGTAACTAACTACAAGTGGGATCTTTTAAGGATAATTGAATTTCTGTCAAATGTTGTCTGTTACATCCTGGTTTAAGAATCATAGCAGTTTGTGTTTCCCTGGGGGTAGAATTATTCCGTAGTGTAAGGGGTTTCGGGGTGTCTCATGTTAAGACACAAATCAGCTTATTTCAAGGGAATAGCCTTTTTTTGTTCTTACATTGTTTAAAAGCTACTCGTCTTCATCTGAATAGAAGCTACTCAGCCATCAATTAGTTTTAACTGTTTAAACCTATTTAATAGATGTAGCTTGCAAATCAGTCTCGCCTGTCAGTAAGAAATCTTACACATAATCTCTCTTACCTTTAGTATTTTACTTTAAAAAAAATATAAAGTGACTTACAGCTTTCATCAGCATTTCTGTTTCGTTGGTAAAATAATTATTTTCATTACTGTTCTGATATTTCAAACTACTATTCCAACTTTGAAGCCGAAGCTTTCACTGAAATCATCGAAGATGGGACATACCCGTTACTTGAATATACTTGCAAGCTTTCAGAGGTTAAACACTTATGGTCTATGCATAATCAATGTGTATGGTAGTGCAATTAATGTTAACTTTAATGAAATGCATGAATATTTAAAACTTAATGAATCTGACTTTACAGCACGCTTTACAGCCTGGTTCACATGTGTGAACAGTATTGACTGTTGGCCTCTGGATGTCAGCAGCGTATCATGAAATTCCTGTAATCGGCCACTGTTTTCCTGCTTCCTCCCAGAAATATCTGTGACTTGTGGTCTCTGCACACCTCCAGAACACCCAGTGCTTTTTCCTCTTATAAATTATTCACTTACTCTGTACCAATTAGTTCTACCAGTTGCTAGGTTTGTTATCAAGTTAAGCTTCAAGACAAGAACCTGAACTCAATGAGTGATTAAAAATTTATTAGCAGAGATGATTAAATATGCAGATAGTCTGTGAAGCTTGTTCTTGAAACCATTATATTACCTTTTTAATACTAATGATTTGTATAATTAATTTTAAAAAAGCCTGAACGTCTTTTAAAAAAAATCAGAGCGGGACATAAAAGGGAAGAGATTAAATGCAGAGGAGGCAGTGAACTTGAGCATTAAACCAGCTCATTCACATGTATAGGCAATAAAGTGATTTTCTTACAGGAATAGTTTGTATTTTTTTCCCCTCTGCTAAGTTGATTATTTTATTAATCTTTTAAGCAATTTGGGAAAACTCTATCCACTAGTGAGTCATATTTTCAAAACAGAACTTTATGTGATTAACACTGATAATACAGACAATTCCCCTAAACTTTGCAGTTAAAACCTAAACTGTATCAAGATGAAACCGT